TATATTGAATATAATAATTATCTCATTCTTCTCTGAATCTTCTTATTTATATCTCTTTTGATTCACAATCCCAAGTAATCAAATATTCTCCATCACCACTCAATTATCCAAATTCGCCTTCTGTACCAAATTAAATAGATTACTCTACTTTAAATTCAGAATTTTCTCCTAATTAATTAATTTATAGAGTTCACATGCTTATTCACAAGTAATTATTTTTAGTGAATAAATTATTATGGAAATAAGTTACTAAAATCATAATCTTGTTAATTTTGAGTAATTTTTTTTGATTTATTGAACTATTTACTTACACTATTCATCTCATAGTGGCAATCTAGTACAATTTTTTATTTTACGATCTAATTTTTATTATTTTATGATTATTCAATAAAATTGTTAAAATTACCAAATGATTACTAAAATAATATCAATTAATACATCTAAATGTTTCTCTATTTCTTAAATATGATATTCTAGTTATCTATTTACCATTTAATCTCATTACATTTCTCTAATTTTATTGATATTTTATGTCATAAAAAAAATTAAATGTATATGTTAATTATATAAGATTAGATAACAGTTAAGCTAAACTTTAAGGCTAACAATCAACTTTTATTGTTCAACATGAGGATTTAACTCCTAAGTCAACTAATAAAAGAAAAAATTTGAAATTTTTATTGTTGAGCACAATCACAATAAATAAATATGAAAGGAATAAGATTCTCCTATGAATTTATAAAGGAAAGAGAATAATGAATTAAGAAAATATCAAATATATTGATATATTACACGTAGGTCTAAAAAAATCCAAAAATTAGTTTAATTGAGTTACAATAAACTTTAAGAGATCAGGCTTTAGATAATACTTTTGAATTCTTTAATGAGTTTATTCGAGAATCAAATAAAATTTTCGTAGGCTTAGCATAATAGAGGCTATATTTATAGAAAATCATCAATTCATTTAAATTTATGGAATGATTATAAGTAAAAATTCAGTAAGGGCACTTGATTAATAAATTTCTTATTAATTTATTCAAAGCATAATAGGTATTTAATTTAGAAAGTATTCATAGATTTCTTTTAAACTGTTAAAGAGATATTGTTGATACTTGACTTTTATTGTACCATAAGATAGGGGTTGTAACAATCAATACCAATTCTTCAAATAAAAATAAATAATATAATTATCTAAATGATATAAAAATAATTGTAAGATAAATAGTATATTTAATAATTAAAGCATTATATGCAATTCTTAAAATAATACTTTAGTTACTATCGTGAATATATTTGTGATAGAGTTGAGAAATTTAAAATTGAACTTTAGCTATAATTCAAATTAAATCTGATTATAGTGGTGATATGGAGATTGAATCATGATATCATACACAAATTTATTTAAAAAATAAAAATCCAAATAGCCTACCTCAAATTAGCCAATTAGTTTAAAATTTTAATTTAAATTATCAAATCTTAAAATTTGAAAAGATTGATTAAATTTCATCCATTTTGAAACTTAATTTAAAATTTTTACTCTATCAACTTGAAATAAGGGTTGATTATTAATTTAAAAGTATAATTATTAATTATTTACAAACAGTTTTTCATATCTTTTAGTCTTTTAACTATTATCTCAATACATCCATTAAATTTTAATTAGTACATTCCATAAATATTTAACGCTTAAAATCAAAGCACTTTTTATTAAGGAACACTATATATGGTTTGGTGATCAGAATTTTCAATCACTGTATTTCTATATCTGATCTTAATCATTATAGCTTCAAATTGTTATGTAATTATTATTATATCTATGTAATTGTAGCCCGTAAGATTCGTTTTGATATCATAATTTGTTAAATTATATAAAAAAAGATTTTTTACTGTAAAGATTCAAATCATTCACTTTTTTTTACTTTTTGAATTATTTTTAAATTGATTGGTTAATAGAAGGTAATATTTAAGTATTGAATTTATTAATAGAATGATAGTTAATTAAACCGGATAGAAAAAGAAGTAAAGACTAAACTAATAATTAAATTAAGGTTCAAGCTTTTTAAAAAGTAACAATTAAAAATTAAGTTAAATAAATCAATTAATTGTCTGATAAAAATATTTGAATTTCAAAAAAATCTATATTATTGAGTATTGAAATCAATTATAATTTTCGAAAAATAGCTAACTATTTAGATATAGCAGACAGAAATTTGAAGTCAAACAATTACTATATTTCATAAATTCCCTCAATTTTGTATATTAAAATAGATCTAAACATCAAAAACATATATTCCAGAAATATAAAAATATGTAAGGCAAATATATTATAAACAATATCGTCGATATGAAATTATACACATATATTTTATTGTTCTTAATATCCTCTAATTTGTATTTAGTTTGATTCAGAATCACAAGTAAACAAATACTTTCCATCATCACTTTTTACTCCACATGTATAGTTTAACAGATTTTGCATTGTTAGACAAAAATAAAAATCATTGAAGCAATATTTAAATATTTTGATTAATTTTCTTCTTATAATGTTTCAAATAGTATTTTTTTTTAAATTCTCAATAATAATTAAATATAAAAAACTTTTTTACGTTTAAAAAACTTCAATACTCTATAGCATTTTTTTAACACTTTTCATAATTATAATATCATTTAATTAAATAATAAATGAAATAGAGAATATGATGAAGGCAAAATTTAATTGGAGAAATGAATAAGTATGACTTGCAAATAAACGATAAAAGAGATGATTTTTATGATATGAGGTCTTCATTTGTTTCTTGGAAAGATAT